GATTTTGCGCGCGAAATCGTCACCCATATTGGGGGCGAAGGTGCAGGAGTGTAGAGCGGAGATGCTGGCCCAGCCAGATGATAAGGCCAAGTGGGACAAAGTACTGGGCTATCTAGAGGTGTTGAGCAAGGCCTGGATGGAGGAGCGCCAGGCAAGCTGGAGCCAGGATGTAGCGTTGAGTGCCATGCGGTCCGGGTTCAGGGATTTTGCGTGCGAAATCGTCACCCATATTGGGGGCGAAGTCAAGCCTACCAACTGCCTACGAATACACAGGTCACAGGTTCAATTCTCGGGGTCTACACAAATACTGTACATGGGTAAGGTGAGGTCTAGGGATCGAACCCTTGGTACTGCATCCGCTACTGCTAAAAGGTGAAAACCGCTTCATTGTTCTTCTTCTTCTTCTTCTTCTTCTTCTTCTTCTTTGTCACTTCTTCTTCCTCCTCTTCTTCTTCACTTCTTCTTCGTCTTCTTCTTCTTCCTCTTCTTCTTCTTCGCACCCGTTTCGAGCCCCATTCCCCTCCCTCCCGTATCGTCAGGATCGCGCCCAATCACTGGTCCCCCCCACGTGCCCCCGTCACGATCGTCTCGCTTCCCGCTACCTTCCCACTCCCCCACTTGGCGCACACGTACGCGCGCATGTTACCGCTACCTTCCAGAGGTCTTAGCTGTAGACTTTCCGAAGGGTCAAAGTCGTAGCTGCTACTTACCTGAAAGGGCCAAAGTCGTAGCTGCTACAGGACCGAAAGGTCAAGTAGGTGCTTCTAGAAGTGGCCTTTCGGAGTCAGCCCACTGTAGGTCAAGGCAAGTGGGCAAGTGGTGGAAGTCCACCGCGCAGAGTCAGCAGTCCCAGTCCAGTCAGTCCGGTCCAGTCAAGCAAGTACCGCCTGAGACTGTGTGCACCGTGGGCCAGGGAAACAGGGCAGGCCAACGAGCCACAGAAGTATAAATTAAGAGGCCGCGCACAGCCATTCATTCATTCCTGCGGAAGCCATGCGGAAGCGCTGTCTCAGCGGCTTGTGCGAGGAGGTCTGCAGTGTGCCCGAAGTCGAAGTGGGCTAGCCAGTTTGCTGCGATGCTGTTTACATGCATGAAAGGTGTGAATGAGACGAGTCTGATTGCACAATGCTGCAGTGCATAACATATCTTTTTCTCAGATTTTTTTGCGGGGTGCAGATCCGGACGCTCTGGACCGGGCAGCAGACCCGGATATCCGGACCCAAACTGTCTGCATCCGATCCGAGCGTCCAGATCGTAGCCATGGAACGGTACTCATCCTGGACAAGGATGGGACTGAACAGCATAAGAAAATTGACTCCTCCTAACCACCCCGCCTCTCCCCCACCCGATAACATGGAAGAGACCTTGGCTGGGCTGATGTCCAAGGACTAGACAGAGAAGATGAGAAGAACGACAGACGAGATATAGACCATGATTAGACAACTCCAGCTATCTGAACCACCCCCCATACAGACCTGGGGGAAGACTCTCTGTCAGAAGACCCTTGGTATCAACAGAGGAATAAGGAGGAGGTGCTAAAGGAGCTTATCTTCTGAAATCCATGGATAACCAACAGCCATTGGTCGCTGGCTAAGTCCGATCCATCACCTGTGGATAGACAAAAAGAAAGATTGGGCAAGAACAGGACTTGAGGGCCCAACTCAAAGGGGTTGTTGTTTACTGTCTAATAACCTGGATGACATTCTGTGAATCATTCCCCTGGCCTGAACTGATCATCTTAAAGAGGAATCTTCATGTGCAAACAGGGGGAGCTAGGGTCTTCTCACAACACCCAATCTCTCCTGACCAGGGATTACAGAGAGAGTTGAAAACGACTGACGAACGAAGACTAACAGAGCAGAGTTCACATCCTTGCCCATTGAGCAGCACTGCAATCAGAACTGGGCAATTCTTGGCTCGCATCCGGAAACTGAGACCTTAGACACCTCCTCGCCTCACAAGACTGGAGTGTGACTGCTCAAACCCTGGAAGACATTCGAAGCAAGGAAAAACGTATCAGAATAGAGTATGACAGGAGGGAGTGGGGAAGGAGTCAGGAAACACCTAAGAACTTAGTAAAAGTCCATTATAATCCCTGAATATCGAATCCCGCTACCAACTGGGGCTAAAAGCGGTTGACCCTAATCCAGATAAAGTTAAGTGATGGAGAGCCCTTCGTCTACGCCTACATGCAGAAGAAAGTTCAAGAAACCTTTTAGACACTCCATGGCAGGGTTGCAGGCCTGCCGATCGCCAACCCCGATTGCCGACCTCATTGCAGATGACCGGTCGGCGGTCTGCCGACCAGTAAGAAAACAACCATCCACTGATGTTTTTTCAAATCTGAGTTGGGGGCTGTACTGCGCTTGCTGAGTACAGCCCAAATCCGCTGAGAAACTTTTGGGGATGGGGGAGAGGTACGGGGGGGTTGGGGTTGGAGTATAGGGGGGGTAATGGG